TGAAGACCATAGATCCTACTTATGCTACTTATTCTGTAACCTTCTCTATCCTCGACACTTCCATGAGGTTTGTAAAATGCTCAGCCAATTTCTTTTCCTCACTTACTTTGGATGTTGTTGTTTTATTAACTTGTTTCCTTCTTTCTCATCGATAACTCTTGAGACTCTTTCTTTAATCATCTCGGTCTTTTGTAACCTAAGGATTTATTTGTACATAGCTTTCTCCTTCTGCTTCCTCCTATCTTTGACCGTTGCCCGCAGTCACTTATGGTAAAACTTCCCTGGGCACGCGCACCTGCTCCACCGCAGAACTTAAACCACTAAATACTAAGTTGTTTTGTGCAACTTGTGATTTCTCTCCTAATGATTTTCAGTAAAATGAATGAATACGCATTCAAAAATAAGCAAATTTCTACATGCACTAGCTTATTACCTCAGAAAACTTTAAAATATAACAGCGAAATCTATGGTTATTATTTCCCACATAAGATATGAAAATTACTAATATAAAATGTCGGGTTGGGGATTTAGCTCATCAGTCCCACAGCTGATTGTCTCTGAGCTCTGGTTTGAGTTTGATTCCCAGTACAGGTAGAACTCCTTTTTGTGTGTGTGTGTGTGTGTGTGTGTGTGTGTGTGTGTGTGTGGTTGCCAGAATAGAACTCGTGTCCTTTCACTTTTGAGGCAGGCAGTGGAACCACTGAGCTAAATACCCAGCACCAATCCCTAGTGCAAAAAATATTTAAAAATCACAGGTAAGCTCATTGGTGCACACCTATTATCCAACCACTTAAGGAGACTGAAGCAGGAGACTGAGCCTAGAGTAGATAGCAAGAACCTGTCTTCAAAAACAACCAAAATAAAATGAAATCATCATATTTTAATGTCTGTCTTTCCATATTCACATTTAAGTAGATGCATCATCACATTATAAATACTCTGAACTCTGAATGAGAGAGAGAAGGTAAGCTAGGTAACTGCACTCTCCAACGCAACTTCACTGCAACTTCACAGAAATCTCACTGTGGGACTTCTGTGTACGGGAAGACACCTAGCACTGCAGTTGAGGGGTGAGGAATTTCACTTCCCTAAATCAAATATAACCTCGTAACCTATTTCCTTCAGTAGTCATCTTCCCTAGTATATTTCCAATTTTCTTCACATTTCTAACTTATTATTTTTCGATATGGAAATATCAATATTGGAAGTCAAACATAAATAACTTCAAATAATAAATTCCCAATTATGCTACATGATGTGTAATAAATATGTATCTCAATAGAGATTTAAAAATGATGGTTAAAAAAATGATCCTTTTAGCCCTCTGTGTTCATCAGAATCTGTCTATGCTAAAACTTGTCAAGGACAGATTTCCCCGGAAGAGTATTCCTGTTCAGGGTGTGTCAGTCGATCGACTCTGTCAACTTGAGTAAGAAATGCTCCACGAAAGGGGCTCAGCATAGTTCACAGAAGACCCACTGTAGGGAGTGTGTGTCACCAGAATGGCGTAAAGGGGGATCAGAGAAAGTAGGACTCCTGTTTCTTCAGAAGAGCTCCAGTCTTCACTTCATCTTGCACGTTGTCCCCGGCCTTTCGTCGCAGACCCTTCGGCTTCCCGGGATGTTCTCACACGGGCCACTACAGCGAGCTCAGACCTTTGACCGGATCCAGTCAGACCCCCTGCACTCTTCCACGCCTGACTTCGTGGCAGCCATTTTAAGCAATCTTGTAAATTCTTACTTATCCGTACATCTTGGATGAAAGCCTGCTTCTGTAGTAAGCTCCGAATGACACCCAGGGACAAAAGGAAACATGATTTTGTTTCAATTCATGAGAACTTACTCCTCTGGAACTTATGTCGCCAGTGTGTACAAAATAAATAATACTTTCCTACAGGTTTTTAGCTGATATATACATAGAAATGATTGTGTCAGGTGTTAAGATTTCAACCGTTTTCTTTCACCTTGAATGGAAAATGAGGTAGTAAGCAGTGCTAATCCTGTGTAGTTATAAGATCCTTCACATGTCTTTCCCTGAATGATGTCAGTGCCTCTAGGTTAAAATTTTACTCCCAAGAAAATTGTTTTTCATAGTTAACAAAATTAAATCTGCTAATAGAACCATATTAAACCATTAATATTTCCTGAAACATTGAGATAATGAAGTAGGATAAAATTTCCTCAGAAATTCCTTTCCTCTTTTTGTATTTTAATTAGCTGACTCCACAAGTCTAAGTAATTTCAATGAGAGTTCACATAATACCTGAAGCTAAAGTCAAGAAGGTACCTTTTAAGAACAGAGCCATTCTTACTACACTCTTCTCATATCTGTGCTCACCTAGGAAGGTAGGGGCTGTGTGTACAGAGCACACTCTGTGAGGCATCCAGTCCATATGTGCCCAGACAGAGCACAACTCCGCAGAATTCTGCCATTACTGTGGAATGTATGTGTTGGCGATTCTCCCTATATGAGCTTAATAAAAGAGCTAATATACATATGAGGAACTTTAGGTGTGTTACTTTTTCAGATTTGTCAACAAGACAAAAGTTTAAAAGACTTAAATTAAGAAAGAAATGTTGAATGTTTGAGTGGGATAGTTAAGAGTATAAAGTTTGGTGGTGTTCGCTCTAATGTCCTAATATCAAATGATTATAAAAGGATAAGTGGTTTCCAAAAGGAGAAGGAAGAAGAAGAAGGCCAAAGACAAACACAGGGCACTGAATAAGAAATTGTCAATCAGCTGTTAGAAAATATCTCTAATTTCTATATAAATATTACATACAGATGTGAAAAGACTCATTATTTTAATATTCAATTTTTTCTCCTTTAAAGAATTTTATTTCAGCATTAAAAAAATCACATTACAATTACTACCGTGTTTCTTTCAAAATAAGATTTTCATGAAAAGCAAGTTCTAGTGTTTTCTCTGGCCATCACTAATTCTGAGTTTTCAATCTTGTAGTTGGCTATTTACATAACAGGCCCAGCAACTTGCAGCTACTACCTGATAGAGTCTTGAATGAGCAGGTTCTAGAAGTCATCTCTGAAATAGTTTTCTTTAGAATTTGTGAGAGAGATTCTCTTTTATATATGAAAAATTAGGTCCTGCTCTTAATCATGAAAGAGAGTTTAGGGAGCTAAGAGCCTTCAGCTCAAAACAATCTTCCTGCCAAAATGGCATATTTTCTGGTGGTGTGAGCTGTTCCTCTTCAGGATACATTAGTGAACACAAATCTATCTATCTATCATCTATGTATCTATCTATCTACTCTATTATGTGATTTTTATGAGATAGGAAAACATTTTAACTCTGAACTTTCTTCTACAGAGACAGCACAAATATAAAACCATCACTTCAAACAGAAGTACTGGTCCATTCCTGTCATTCCAGCACACTGGTAAGATGAAACAAAAGCTTAGCAGGTTTAAGCTTAGTCTGGACAATTTAGCTGATTAACAAGATTCTTTGTAGATACATAATATTTAAAAAAGATTCTGGATATATGTTTGCATGAATATAGTGTTAGGGCTCCGGGATTTAGACCAGTGGTTCTATCATCTGCCTTGCAAGAGCAAGGCCCTGAGTTTGATGCCTGGTAGGAAAAGAAAAAAAAAAAAAAAAAAAAAAAAAAAAAAAAAACGGTAAATGTAGGGTCAATACACTAGTTTCAATCACTGTTACTAAAAATAAAAAATAAAGAAAGAGCACTATGACTTACTTGTAGGTAGTAGGATTGTTTATAATATAATTTTATGCTTGATTCACCATTTTGTTCAGAGTTAAATCGAGGGATATTCCTGCTATCTCCATATAAAGCCATAATAATTGCAAATGGACAGAGAATTATCATTCCAATTAATTATTTTATGACAACAGAATTCTGAAGTTAGGGTTGATAGAGACAATTTTGCATAAATTGGAAACCATTCAAAATTGTGCAGATTTATGTGCTAGTGGACTGTAATGGAATTTAATTTCATTGAAATTATATAGTTGGGCCTGGTAGAGGAAAGAAACAAATTATAAAGGTGATGTAAATTAAATTTTAGTAAATCGACTTTGTATAC